CGAACTAGAAAAGGCCCTTTCTGAACTAGTTTCTCATCGTCTCCCGGTCCGGACGGTATAACTTATGCAGTCTTAGTTCAGCAGGGCACCAAGGGCAAAGTGAGGCTCTTGAAACTGTACAACACAACGTAGGAAACGCGCTAGGTGCCCCGGAAATGGAAACCATAGCGCATGATACCGATCGTTAAGCAAAGAAAATCCACCCCAGACCTTTCATCGTTCCGTCCAGTTGCTTTGTCATCTTGTGTCGGAAAAATCATGGAAAGGATAATACATACACGACTTGAATGATACCTAGAGCAAAAAGACATACACGCTGAGGTTATGGCAGGTTTTCGGATGAGAGCACCACTCCCTTGATAATGTCATTGACCTCCCAACTAGCATCGAAACGCAATAGAAATTCCGAAGAATCACCACAGCAGTGTTCCTCGATATTGAGGGCGCTTTTGACTCAGTAAGCCACAAGGCTATCGGCGACGCACTCTGCTACGCCTGGATAGGAGGACGCTTTTATGTATGGATTTTAAACTATCTTGAAAACAGAACAGTATACATGGTGTCGACAGAAGGGAAAGGGGCTGAGAATATTATTGCTCGTGGCGTGTCACAGGGTGGTGTTTTCAACCCACACTTTTCAATATCACCCTCATAGGACTTGTATAAACAAACTTCCTCAAAACGTCAGAATAACTCTGTACGCGGACGATATCCGCATATGAACCTCATCAATCACGCAGTGCGGCTTTAATGTAATTCGCTTAGAGAAAGCACTCGAGATAATTTCAATTTACTTCAAAGCCGTGGATTATCACTATGCCCAACAAAGACCGCGGTTATGGGTTTTACACGAAAAGGTACACTTAGGTATCGGCTCACTATTGATGCTCACCTTATACCATATGTCCAAACTCAGATTTCTTGGCCTTATCCTAGACAATGGTTTAACGTGGACACCACACGTTAATCAACTGAAAGTAAAGCTTACTTACATTACCCACCTCTTACGATTCCTAAGTGAAACTACGTAAAGTGCATCTGCAGCTTCACTTATCCAACTATATAACGCTCTTTTTACCGGCTTCATTTGATACAGTCTGCCTATGTTTCATAAGATGTGCCGCACATATATAAGAGTGCTTGAGAGTATGCAGGCTCAAGCCCCATGTGCATGTCTAGGGCTCCCGAAATATACTTCCAATGTTGAAACCGTAGCTGAAGCAGGGCTACCCCATACGTTTTCTTGGACTACAAGAGACCCTTCGAAGACACCTTTGTCATCTTACCAGACGCAGAGAATACTATCTTGCAGATATAGCACAAGTGTGTGTGAATTCGCTCAAATTATTCATTTTGCCAGCTTAGACACTCCAGGAGATTTTGAACCAGCAGAGTTCTCTTCATCGCCCCCTTGGGCCTATATAATAATTAACATTAAAAAATATGGCGGGCCTACTTTTGAGGTAACACTCCTTGGAAATAATTAATGTTCATCACCGTTCGCGAACGCTTGTATATACCGACGGGTCCTGTACTGATAAAAGCTCCAGTTGCGGCTTCGTAATACCATCAACCAATGAAAGACTTTACGGAAAAATAGGCCACACGACATAATCAACAACATCGGAATTAGTAGCGATTCGAGAAACACTTAGCTTTATTTCTGCAAGTGATTCACATATTCGGTAAATTCTTACCGATTCTAGGGCAGCTCTTCAGAGCCTCAAATCGACTAAAAGCAAAGAACGTCAGCGCACAGCTTATTCATCAGATCCTGAACCTTCGTCAGGAGGCTATCGACAATGGGCATTCTCTGATATTACAATGAATCCCAAGCCATTCTAATATCCAAGGCAACAAAAGTGCTGATTTATCAGCCAAGGATGCTTACGGATGTAATTCTGGTTTAATAATCCCGTTCACACAAACAGATGCTAGGGCCAGAACCAACCGTTGTTAGGACACTGATAAAATCCTTCTGGGCCAATCCACTTTAATATTAGACACCTGCGCGATATTGACCCTTTCCTTGTCTTCCGTTCACCCCGCGGCCTTAAACACTGGGTCGAAACTAATATCCAGCGAATATGACTCAACGTAGCTTCAACGGGATTCTATTTCAACCTCACTGGCCAGCTAAACTCTCCTTTCTATGAGAACTGTGCTGTCACAGGCACACTTGAGCATGTCATGTGCCGTGTAGCCTATACACAAGTCAACGAAATAAACTGGCAGACTCTCTTCATCTTCCCAACGGAGGAACTCTTTCCTTGACTCACCTGCTCGAACCATGGGACTCGGTATCGGAAAGGGTCAAATCAACGACCTCCTTCATCCGCTTTCTTCAGAAAACAAAACTGGACCGAATACGCTAAACTCGGACATACTTTTAAATCAACAAACAACAACGCACGAATTTTTCTTGTATATATATATATATATATATATATGAACGAATATGTGCAGATGAATGAACCGTACTTAATCCAATGAATCAAAGAATCAAAGTTTCCAGGAACCCGCCGAAAGCCAAAAATTGGCGGAGCCAGGCGGAGCCAGGGTGTCTTTAGTTATTCTTTCAGAAATGTTTTAAAAAAAACGTGAAACCTGCACTTATGCAGTTTGCGCAGGTGAGTTATACGGCCAAAAGGACATAGTATAGGGAGATAGTCGCAACTATTAGTCGGTTAATTACGTACAATTTGTCAATTAACTTTCTAGTTAGTGCAAGTAGACATATAGATCCAATTAAAAACTTGCTGAGCATCATCGAAAACCACTAAATAAACTCTTTTTAGAAGGATATAATGCCGGGGCAGAATGTTACGGCGTTCTATAAAAACGCTTCCTTTGTACTCGTTACTACAGTTCGGTTTCTTATCGGAGTGCGTCTTCACGCCCACAGTCCTACCCCCAGTGGCTGTGACGCGCAACACACGTCCGCCCTACTTCCCTCCATTCTACGAGGGAGGCGAGGGGGTGGTTTCGCGCCGCGAACACCAGGGAGCAGGACCGCGGGCCCAAAAATGTGCTCCGATAAGGAACCGAACTCTAGAAACGTGTCCAAATGGAGCGTTTTTACAGAACGCCGTAAAATGCTGCTAAGGCGTTATAACCTTCTAAAAATAGCCGATATAGTGGTTTTCACCACTAAATTAACCGTGATCAATCAATCAGTGGTCAACACTAAATCAAGGTGGATCATCACGTTGACGTGATGATGAACTCCGAGCACCTGCCATCCACGGGAACTTTCTGCCCTAAGAACCCGCAAGTCTGGTTTACCGAGGTCGAGGCCCGTCTACACCTGAGAAGGATCACGTCTGGGTCACCAGCCTGAAGAAAAAACATCAGGCGACTCCGATGTCTCGGGTGGAATGTCTTTAATCACGCGCGCTCGCGACCATATCAGCGTTTGTGCATGGCGATGGTGCTGCGAGCTAAAAGAGAAAATAAAAAAAACAACGAAGTGTCTAGCACGGGGCCCCCAATATATGTATATATATATAGAGAGAGAGAGAGAAAGAGGAAAAAATAAATAAGCATAAGCATATATGTAGGTATGTTTGTGTGTGTGCGTACATGCATGTGTGGACATGTGTGTATATATATACGTATACTGCTTGTATATACATAATTTTTAGAGCACAGCTCTTAGGCGCCCGTTTGCGGCTTGAGCGGCGTCGGCGTCACCGTCGGCGTAACAGCGCGGTGCATTATGGGTAAATTTCCCCGCTAAATCTAGCGGAAAAAATTCCCCGCGAAATCTAGCGGGAAAATGTCTCCACTAAATCTAGCGGAAAATTTCCCCGCTAAATCTAGCGGAACATTTCCTCGCTAAATCTAGCGGAAGCATTTCCCCGCTAATTTTAGCGGACAAATTTCCCTGCTAAATCTGGCGGAAAAATTTCCCCGCTAAATCTAGCGGAAATATTTTCCCGCTAGATCTAGTGAAAAAACTTCCCCGCTAAATCTAGCGAAAAATTTTCCCCGCTAAATTTAATGGAAAAATTTCCCCGCTAAATCTAGCGGAAAATTTCCCCGCTAGATTTAGCGGAAAAATTTCCCCGCTAAATCTAGCAGAAAAATTTCTCGGGGGGTTCACGTGACCCCCGAGGTCACGTGACACCCCCAGTTCATGTGACCCCCTTAGGTCACGTGACCTCAGGGGGGTCACGTGACCTTGTGGCCTTGGCTCCTCCTCAAGAGCTGTGCTCTAATTCGGCGTTCCAGGGAGTTGTAAACAGCTTTCATTTTTTTCTTACTCTGATAGTTACCTCCCCTCTTTCCCTCCCCCAAGTGTGAAGTAGCCATCCTGCCAATCTTCGCGGGATAACCTCTTAAAGGGATGGTGAAAGGAAATTTGTATTTCAAAAAAACAATGCTGGAGATGAGGCGGGAAGCTACAATCCCTAGAACACTACTAGTAAGGCGATATCTCAAATGGACGGCCGTATTTTTGGAAAAAGAAGTCGAGATTGAACCAGGCCGACGAGGCGCATGACCGTCAAGATACCTAGTTTCCTCCTCTCTTCGCTTCGCTCCCTCAAGGCCGCGAGGCGGAAAAGACACGAGGTCGTTCCCTCTCCTTCTCGGAGAAACATGACGTCAACATTCCTGCCAAATGCGCCTCTCTTTTCTTGAAAAATACGGTCATCCGTTCGAGATATCCCTGTATGAGTGATGTTTTGGTGTTTGTAACAACCCGTTGCACGCTTTTGCTGCGTGTTTTGGTGAATCGAGATTTCGGTTCAGCATCCCTTTAACCTTTCCAATAAGCAAATTTTTCTTTCAACGACATAAGGGATAATTTAATAATACACCCTTTTCAACAGTTCATCAATCAACACTGGCGGAAGCCTAACTTTGGGTGCTGCTTCGTGCGCGAAACGTGGGATTGGGCCCGAGTTTACGCCAAGCGCTGACGCAATACTTCTGTCCAATACATGCTCAGGAAAGACGACCAAGATGAGACGGCAATCGATAATCGACGCAGCAGCTTTTGCACTTTTTAGCGATTTATTTTCAAGCATGTATTTAGGAATATGTATTGCTCTTTTCTAGAGACAGAGTTTGCTTTCACGACTGTAGCTTGGCGATGTTTTCTGGAATCCAGAGAGTGTAGGCCGGCACCCTGGTGTAGACTCCTGGAGTAACGGCACAGCCTAGGCCGAACGAGACCACACCGACGAGGATGGATGAACCGCTTTCCTTCTGCACGGCTGGACCGCCGGAGTCACCCTATACACAAACCCGACATCATAGCTTTGTTTGCATTGTACTCACACAAGGTAATGTCAACCTAAGTTATACCGACTAAGTTGCTGGCCCACATGAGCTCATGCAATCCGCCGTGTAGTTTTAATAGGAATATTAATTTATGAGATAAAAATGCAAACCCTGGCCAGTATTTGTGCGATATGTCCTACCTAGGCCTTCAAGTACTAATCGCTAGTGACTCTAGTGAAGGTCCCCCGGTTCTCCTGCTCAGTGGGCACGGCGGAACTGCTCGTGATCATGGCTCGCAAAATGTCATTTCCGAATGCAAACAACACTCTTCACTGTCCCAACGTTGTGCTTCAGTCGGTAGGGGATTGTACCTTATTAGAGAGTTTTAGTATTGCGCATAGAGGCAAACGCAAACACTGTTACTTTGCGTTAGAGTTGCGTGCTCCATGCTGTGCATGCGCGTCGTCGCCATACTCCACCCCAAGACCACAATGTTGGGCAAGCGCATTACGGAACACGCAACGCTAACGCAAACACACATTGCGTTTGCTCACATGCGCAGTACTAAAACTCATAACTGGTTTATCGGTTTTCAACGCCAACGAAACGTGCTGCAGTGAGCAGACGTGAAAGCGAGTAAGCGTTCCTTCGAACTGGAAAGGCTGAAATTGGCAAAACGAAGGCACGTAAAGATTGAAGAAACGAAATAAACTAAAAAATTCAACAACAAAAAAAATATCCGTTCTTTTTTTTTTTTGTTGTTTTTTTTTGGGGGGGAGAGAGGGCTTTTAATTTGGATGGATTGCCATGACTTTGGAAGTTTTGCCAATTGCCAAAAGTCGCGACTTCGATAGCTTTATCCTTCTCCAGGGATTATTTTCGTCCTATTCTTGTCCAGCTCGCTTGCAGCTTCGCATTTAATTACATTATGACCCATTGCAATTTGTTTAATTGTGCATGGATTTTTCAGATTTGCTATAGAATGTTTTCATTTATTTTTTAGTTTTTATTTTATACATTGTTAATTAAAAGTACTGTACTGATGATAAATTGCACATTTTTGAGTGCCATCCTCCTTCGCGCGTTTAAAATTTGATCATAAGCGACACTTTTTTACTAGGTCTTGAAAAACTATGTATTAAAATAGTTTAAGTGTATTATTATTGATAGCACAAATTGCGTCAATGTAGACTTCCAATAAATGCACAACCACAAAATATGCCATTTAACCATAATAGTCTTTCCAGGAAGGTCTGATTTTGATTCCTTTTTAGCATATAAAAACTCTGACATCATTATCAACATAAAGAAACAGTCATAAACTGGATGTAATACAAAGTTCTGTGCGTCAAGCTTTGCTTTAAGGACACACGCACACACACACACACACACACTTTTGCTGTCTGATTTGGATTCCGCCTTTGGGTATTGTATTGAGAACAGCGTTTCTGACTTTATATGTTTTATGGGAATATTCTAAACTCATCATCCGAGACAATATTTTGTAAAATTGGGTTAGATTATGTAATGTTTGTGCTTTGGAATAATGTTAAAGCAAATAATCATCTAAATACCTGCAAACCCAACAGAAGGCCCGCGGTTCATTATTTCACATGACAATTATTCAAGCAAGAAAGGGTAACAAGAACGCACATATATCAGCACAGATTTTTTCAACAAATGCAATATTTTATATTATCTCTAAGGGGTATAAAAGGACCTGTTTCTAAAGGTACACTGGACTCTCGCAAGATATTTTGGAGTGCTTAAATCGGAGACGTACGTCACAAAATAAATTTTACGCGAACAACTTTTTTAGCTCAATAATTACGCTGTGAGACACATCTTGAGTTATGAAAGGATCCGAAATTAACACCTATATCGAAAAATTAAATTCAAAATAGAGGTTCGTTTTGATTTTGTTTCAGAATTGAAATGTTTCTCCTGGCATAAATAATACGATAAATACAGTTTTTGTTTTCAAGATAAGGATGAGACCTATGCTCATAACGCCGTAGTTTCCTCGTATAAGCAGAAAAAATTTGTCTAGCTCAGTGAAGCTAGCAAACTAGACAGGCTCAGCAACTGGTATACCGGCACGCATCTCCGACCCTCTCTAAAACCGACATTTTAAAAAACGAGTAGCGCCAATAGTGAATTGAGTCGCGAATAGGTTCATGTGCGCATTTAAGAAAAATATGATCTGCGTAGTGCGTACATCCAGTTCACCAACCCAGTTGCGTCACTCCACGCATGTTTTCACCAATTTGTCCAAGTCAATTCATGACTAACGAGTTACTCAAAATTGTATCATTGCATTTAAAACCACATCTAGATATTAAGCTTTAATCAACAAAACGTGCTGGCTTGCAGTTAGATGTGTCACTCAGTAGCCGATCAGTTGTGTGAAGGGCAAACCGTCGTAGTCCTCACATGGGAGTTTGATATTTCATTCAAGGGAGCTTCAAGAACCCTATACTACTGGAATTCGCGCGAGCCAAGCCTGAACCTGACAGATGTTTCTCACCTGGCACGAGTCCTTCCCGGGGCTTCCGGCGCAGAACATGGTCTTGGAATCATAATTGCCCATAGTTCCAAAGGTACAGATGAACGATGATCTTACCGGAACTGATACAGCGAGCAGATGCGAAGAACTAGGCCCGCCTGAAATAAGAAAACTCAAGATTAGATTTTCCCGTACATTCAGAAAAAAAGTGCATGAGAAGATATTGTTGGTTTCTATGCTAAAAGGTCAGCCAAAAAAGTACATACGTCAGACATACCTGCCAAGGAATAGCCATAGCTGGCAGAACATCTCCCTAAATTCAACCTTATATTTAATTATCTCATAACGCTATCAATAAGAATTTACGAAAATGCTTCACGAAACTGCATTTTACAGCTGCTGATACATTTCGTTGCCTCTGAAGGAAATTGTGAAAGCAGCAATCACGCTTATCAATACAGTTCGGTCTAACATTCATGAGATAGGAATAGATTTGTGGAAACCAAGAACTCCCAAATACCTTCGCCAGTACAGCCTTAAGGAAATATAATACACTGCGAACGATCAAAGGATATCGAGCGCTCAATTACTGTTGGCTCGCAAACTGAAAGACTCTCCTTCTTTGCTTTACTTTTAATTTCTCAATCGCCAGCGTTCTATCTGCTGTAAGTAAGGTTCTGGAAAAATCAACGTTCTATGAATGACGAAAATGATTGTTTATTCTGTACCAGCGACAACGAATGGCTATGTCTCACGAAGCAATCCAAAGGTGAACGATATATGACAGTGAGCGATGGAAAACCCAGCTGGTCAATAAAAAGGCTCGTCACGGAGAACGGACACTAAGGGTGTGTCAGGTGTGACGTGTTTGTTTTCCTTATTCTATTGCTGTTATTCAACAGCTTGACCAACACTCAAACTGACAACAAAAAAATCAGCTGCGACACACGAAATGAACACAAAGAATGAGCATCAACGAAGCGACTTTTCTTTCTCTTATGCACATCTTCAATAAACTAAGTAAAGGTATAAACGAGTGGGGATTGCGTAAAAAAGTGACAGATAATTTTATTATCGCATTTATTATACATTAAAACGAACCTAAAAGCACATGGGTCTACGCAAAAGCACTCCTTAAACAACTCCCGATATGACATGTAAAAGAAAAAAATGCAGAATTCTTGGAGGACAAATTTTAGTCTATAACGTCAGCAAAGCAAAGCTGAAAGTTAATGCAAATAAAACATTCCAAAGATGTAAACTCTACAGCCCAGATCAGTCCGCTTCATCAAAAACGCGTGAGCAATCGCTTGATATAGAAATAGTTATCGCAAACAAATATGGCCCTAGCGCGAACAGCAGTAAAGTTTTCAGTATCACTAAATAAGACTGTGTATTTTGGTCTAAACGAACACGGTTACAGTGTTTCCTTTAAAATTTCTGACACACGTATTCTAGAGCTTTGAAAGCTTGTATAGTCCACGTAGTACTGTGTTATACAAAAAAAATCCATTTATAAAAGTTTAAAAAAACTGCAAAACATAAAACAAAATAAAAATTACAGGAAGACACTTAAGACTCCTTACGTGTAGGAAGGCGAAAGCATTATAGTACCGCGGGTGAAATATTTTCGAGTGATATGTTTCTAAACGTATTAAAGTTTAGGACGACGTAAAGGATGACGTCCTAGAGATGGACGTCAAGTACGGCCTCTAAGACGACCTCTAGGACGACGTCGAAGACGACGTCGAGAACAGCGTCTAGGACGACGCCAAGGACGACCTCTCAGACGACCTCAAGGACGACGTCCGGGACGACGTCGAGAAACGACGCTTAGAGGACAACCGCTAGGACAACCTCAAGGATGACATCTATTACGACGTCTAGGATGACCTCTTTTACGACCTCAAGGACGACGCCTGGAGACTCCAGGCGTCGTCCTTTATGTCGTAAAAGAGGTCGTCCTAGACGTGTAAGCGTTCTACACGTCGGTCTCTAGGCTAGAGAGCGACGTGTAGAATTACCTCTAGGACGACACGAAGAACGGCGTCTTCTTCGAGCATACGACTGATGGCGCGCGCTTCATTAAGTATTTTTATGGCCATCGTTGGGGCACAACGCCGCCGCCTTTTTGCGAAATGGGACAATTAAGGCTTTTGCCTTAATATAGAGCACATGTCATTCTACTACGACGACACACACTGGTAAATAATATCACATTACTTCTCATAACTTCAGCTCTCTACCCAAGTCACCCGCAAAAGTGACACCATATGTCTCTCCCTTAATTTCTGTGAAAAAAAACTAATTTGACTTGTGAGCTATGTTTATAGTCTTACGTCTTTCCAGAAAACAGATGATTGATTGACTGAAATCGTGTCTATATTGATGAGAAATGTTCTCCTGCCTATGGTCTGGTGGACCTGAGGCAGGAGGGAGGTGGGTTGTGAGAGTTGTAGGGGAGAGGGGATTATGACGATGATTAGGTTAGATGAAGTGACGGATCCCGGATGTCCTGATAAAACGTATGAGTGAATTCAGGACTTGCTTTCTGTGTTGTGCCTGTTCTTTTGGGTGGGTCCAGGCTTCTAAATTCCTTGGTTTCGCCTCACTCGTTAGCGAGGCCCATGCGTTTTGTCTGAATTTCTCCAAACTCTTGCATGTGTGTTGTTGTCAGCAACCCTCCTGCGATGCATTTCTTGCACACAGGGTCGTTGTCTTCATATCCTTCTTTTTGTAAATGTTGCTTTTCTTGCCGGTGTTAAGGCTGTACCGGTCCCAATTCTCCGTAATCGCACATTCTCCCACCTCGTGTGCCCTTGCGGGATTGGGTCTTCTACTGTCAGTAGAAAGCCTTTCAGGTAGAGTTTTCGTTTTAGAGCGCAGCTCTTAAAGGCCCGTTCCCGGCTTGAGCGGCGTCGGCGTCGCCGTCGGCGTCGACGTAACTAAGGTCATCCCAAGGTCACGTGACCCCCAAGGTCACGTGACCCCTCCAGGTCACGTGGTCCCCAAGGTCACGTGACCCCCGAGGTCATGTGACCCCCAAGGTCACGTGACCCCTCCCAAGGTCATCTCAAGGTCACGTGACCCCTCTGAGGTCACGTGACCCCTCCAGGTCACGTGACCCCTGAGGTCACGTGGGGGTCACGTGACCTTGAGGTGACCCCCATGTGACACCCAAGGTCACGTGACCCCCATGTCACGCCTCCCCGAGGTCACGTGACCCCCTCCCCGAAGTCACGTGACACTCCTGCCCCCCCCCCCCCCGAGGTCACGTGACCCCCCCCCCCGCAGCATATTAAAGAATGAGGGGAGGAGGAGAAGGAGGAGGGGTCTACCCTCCCCTCAGTACCCTTCACTCCTCCTCCTCAAGAGCTGCGCTCCAATTCGGCGTTACAGGGATTTGTAAACGGCTTTTTTCTTTTGTCGATTCGGCTCTTTCTTCTGGGTCAATGGGAGGAGTTTCCTCGGTTGCTTCTTCCCGAAAGGTTAGGCCAGTTGGAGGGCTGGTGCTGCTAGCTGCCTCCACGGCGGCCTGTGCCCTCTCGTTGACGTGGATGCCAGCGTGACCGGGTAGCCATTCAATTATCAGTGTAAAGCCTTGTTTTTTCAGCCCCTTTACGATTATTTTGATGTTTTTTGTTCTATTGTTTCTGCACGCTTTAAGAGCCGGCTGCGAGTCTGTGAATATCCGGGCTGTGTGGCCCGGCTGGAGAGTTACTTTAATGTCTTCAGCAGCTGCCAGTTTAGCTTTCAGTTCGGCCTCTCTGACGGACGTCTGTTTTGAGAGTTTTGCTGTTTCAATTTTGTTCCCAGTTTCACCTGTCCATGCTATAGAAACGGCCGCGGTGTTCTTCGCGACATCCTTTCTTTCTTCTTCTGTACGTTGTTCCAGCCACTTGTTGTGTTTCTTAGCTGCGAAGGATCTTCTGCCCGTCCCTTTCTCGGGTATCGGTACAAGTGAAACAGGCTTTAGTGTCCATTCTCCGGCATCCACGCGGAATGAATCGCCGGATGTTACATTACTCACGCCGCGTTTTGCGGTGTAACGAGCCTCGTTGATTTCGCTGAGGACACTGAAGTAATCAGACATTGCCAGGAATACGTAGAATCAGCAATTCCAATGCGAAAAAGAAAGCGAGGACTCATACCGACGCCGAAAACATTCCATTCCAATGGTTTGTTTATGGGCGACGGCGAGCTTCTCGCCCACACCCTCATCGCGCATCGTCGGTGGCGTACGCTAGGGGCGCTCCGGTTTGTTTGTAAACATGAGTTGGTGTGTTGCGTCTTCTTTGGAGAATGGTACCATCACCATTTCTTCTAAGTAGTTAGTAACCTCGTCACATAACACAGATGATTTAATAGCAAAAATATAATGTTTTTGTTGCTATTGTGGTTGTCGTTGCTGTTGTCACTTTTGTGGTTGTTGTTGTTAAAAAAATTTAAAAATTGTGAAAGCTCTAATAATGCGGTTTGTGAGGACGAATTTGCAGCCAAGGGGGACAAAAGATAGGGGGCTAATCGTCACGGTAAGTCGAATAATTATATACAACGTGTTCATTATATTTCTAATTAGCGGAAAATAAGCATATGGTTGCAATTAGAAACTTGCTGAGCGTCATTAAAAGCCACTATAGATGCCTATTAAAAAACTCTGGCAACAGCGAAAATCTGCTGAACCAGTCTTACAACATTGGACAGCCGATGCCATGGTGAAGGACTACGTTATGGCCGGTACAATTGTTAACACTGCGTCGTTTTTGCGCTTCCCTTCGCGTCGGTATGGCTGCAGGAATCGTGTTTCCTGTCACGGGCTTGGTAAACCACATTTCCTAACTCCCAGCCGTTAGAGATGACGAAGTACGTAGCATCTACAAGAGCCGATCGGAGTCAAAGCGCTCCTTCGATAGAAGCTAAAACTTCCTCATTGAGCGGTTCGTGTTCAATTACGTAGACCCAAATGAACCATCGTTAGTACACGGCCATCGTGGGTTTCATGTACGACAAAGATCGTGCACAATAAATAATACTAATACAAGTAAAACCTTAAGTTGCTGGACAGGGTGCTCCAAAATCAAGTTTTGACTCTAAAATCGCTTGCAAAAACCAGGTAAAAGACGTATCAAGTAGAAGCTTACCTCGGATACGTATTTTA